GAACTCCATCCCAAGATCCTTCACACCCTGACGGGAACACGCAGCCCTATCCCACTTGAGGGGACAGGATGGAGGAAGCTCTGCAGAGACCGGGGGTCGCCAGGGGGTCCAGGGGAGACTCCCGCCGCCCCTCCCGCGGGAAAGCCGCGCCTCACCGCGCCGCCCGGGGCCGCCTGCTTCCTCTGCTCGCGCAGCCAGCTCTTAAAATCCGTGCAGGCTCGGCACGGCTTCTTGGGCGGCTCCCCCGCCGYGCTGTGCGGGGCAGCGAAGGGGAARGGGAAGGAGCCGCTGTCGGTGCCCGGGAAAGGCGTGGAGCCCCGKCCCGAGCGCCCCTCGCTGGGCGCCGCCATGCTGGCACCGCAGTGCACCACGGGCCGGGGCGGCGCCATTCGGCCACGGCGCTGTGAGGGGCGTGTTTAATAAAAAAACAGCAGCAAACTTTGTGTTTAATGTTGTGTGTGAGGAGAACAGAGAGAGAGTTCCTTCACACGAGACTCCCGCCTGTATTTGTTCGCGTTTCGCTTCACATCACGCCTCGGGTGTGACGGGGCTGTGCTCATCCTCGGGGTGGGTACAGGGATCCCCTCACGGGAGGGTGAAGGTGGTCTCCGTCTGCTTCCCCTCTGTGTGAGGGGGGTTTGCTATATTCCCTCAGAGCAGTTCCTCTCCTGTGATCCTCCCAAACGAGCACAAAAATATGTATAAATATAGGTATATTATGGAGTCTGGAGCATCTCTGTGATGAGGAGAGACTGGGGAAACTGGGCCTGGTCAGTCTGGAGAAGGGAAGGCTGGGAGGAGAACCCATCAATCCATARAAACATCTCCAAGGGCTGTCAGAGGATAGATGGTGCCAGACTGTTCAGTTTATGGCCAGAAACTAAAACACAACAAGTTCCACCTGACATGAGGAAGAACTTCTTTCTATGACGGTGGCAGGGCCCTGGAACAGCTGCCCAGGGAGGGTGTGGAGTATCCCTCTCTGGGACATCCCAAACCCACCTGTTCCTGTGTCRCCTGCTCCAGGTGACCCTGCCTGGGCAGGGGGTGGACAGGATGATCTTTTTCAGCTTTTCTGACATTCTGGGATGTATAGATACCGTGTGTGGCAGAGCCTGTGTCGCCCAACTGCTCTCCTACGTGCCAGCAGTGCCGACGGGCACCTCAGCGTTATTGCCAGCACAGTCATACAATCAACAGGATGATTTAATGGACAAACAAGTGGATAGCTCCATTCAACTCATGCATCTTTATTGCAACACGCCCATATGAAATTCTGCATGTTTTTAACACCTGTCACATGCTTGTAAATCTATACTGAGGGAGGATTTTCCTCTTTCCAAGAGTGCTGGCACATGTCATACGAGGGCAGGTGCTGCCTGGGAGCTGCTGGGCTCTCTGGGTGCCAGAGTGCCTTGGTCTGGAGTGGAAATTTGGCATTTCTTCTTTCATTCCCACAGAGCCACAGGCTTGTGAGTGCCTGAGGGTGGCGAGCCAGCTCTTGGGCGATGGTCCAGCCTGGCAGCAGACTTTGGAGCTTGCTCTTTCACCCCTTAGAAAGGTTAATTAGCTGTGACCTTAGGAAATTCTTAATGGCAGTGACAGGGTGAAAATTTGGAGAGCAGCACAGACTTGCTCTCCTCCTCCTTTTTGGCTTGATTCTTGTTAAAGGTTTGGGAGCCMCAAGATAAGTCTCCTACTGTGAACAAAGTGAATTTTGTATCCACTTCAAATTTTTTCCCCTGTCCATCACCTGTAGGTCAAGTGAAAAATATGATTATTTTGTTTAATGCTAACAAATGTATGTCCAGGATGAAGGTGGACCAAAACATCACCTTATATATGTGATTTATTTAACACAGTGTGGTGCAAAATGTGTATTAGAAAAAGCATCATTTTAGAAAAAATCTCTCAAAGATTTGCCTTCAAAAATATTTTAACACTAGGTGTCTTTCTTGTGGAAATGGTTGAGCTGTTTCCTGCTCTGTGGAGCAATGGGTTGATGGTCTGGATCTCTGTATGGGGTCTCTGTTTACCAGTTCTCCTTTATTTTTATTTATTTGCAATTTCATGGGAATATTTCTTGGCTGATTTTCATGAGGGAGGGAGAAGACACGTGAGTAGGACCTACTGGAATGGCTTTGTCTAAAGTTATAGATAACTATAAAGATAAATTTCACACACAAAGGAAAGATCAAGTAGGGACAGCGACATTTATATGCCTGTTTTCCTTGCCCACCAATAAATGTTTTAATTGATGCTCATGAGCTCATTCATTTTTATAAAATCAGGAAAAAAAGAGAGTAAGATACCCAGGGAATTTCCTCCAGAGCTTTATTGTTTGGTCTTCAAGCAATTAAATAGTTGTGGAGATGTTACCAAGTCACGACAATCTCCTGGTTTGGCAGTTAGCAGACTTTGCTTCCTTGATAGTGATTTAATTTATGGAGTCAGTTAAARTATCAGCATTTTTATTGAAAAGGAAAAAGCTCAGAGCCTGGAAGGAGGCTGTTGGTTACAGAGATTTGTGCTCCATGTTGTTCCACTCACCTCTTTCCTGCTCAGCTGCAGGAACAGACCTGGCTCTTTAAGAAAATGTTCTCCCAGTTTCCCTTGCTTGCCCTTGTSCAGCATCTGCTTGGATTTCAAAGTTTAAAAACTGGAGAGATGCTCAAGTTAGTGCAAGAAAATTCACTTTACTGTCTCTAAATAMGAGATTCTCTAAACCCAAGTGCAGAGCCAAATTAAATCCATCCGAAGGAAGGAATGTGGTGCAGAGCTGAGGAAGGATGAGGGAACATTCCCTCTTGCCGCCCCCTGGACAGCCCTGACCCACCCAACCCTCTGCTCCCGGAACTGATTTAGGAGCTGAAGTTGTGGTGGAGCCTATTACCAAACAAACTCATCACACAAATTCGATTTTAGGGAAAAATCCTTCCCTGTGAGGGTGGGGAGGCCCTGGCACAGGGTGCCCAGAGAAGCTGTGACTGCCCCTGGATCCCTGGCAGTGTCCCAGGCCAGGCTGGACAGGGCTTGGAGCAGCCTGGGACAGTGAAAGGTGTCCCTGCCCATGGCAGGGGTGGGATTGGATGGACTTCAACGTCCTGAATCTGTGATTTTTTTGGGGGAAAAAAATTCCCTTGTGCCACTCAGGATCCTTTCCAAGTGTTTCTGTGATGGTTTTGTAGATAGTTCCACCTGAATCCCTCTGCAGGGGAATGTATCAGGAAGCTGTCTCATATTTACAAGTAAGAATGTGAGCCTAAAGTCCGACCAGTGACGAGCCAGCAGCAGGAATTAGTCAGAGTTGTTTGAGAATTTACAGCCAACTAGGAAATAGCAACCAAAAAAAAAAGATGTTTATTTCCAGGTAAGTGAATCATATTGATCCTCTCTGTTTGCGTAGATCACTACAAAAGAAGAACTACATCACCTGCAAAATTTCCCAAAAGGATGAATTTATCCCTCAGATATCAGGAAGGAGCCTGCAGCTTCSCTGCCAGGGAATGGGTGGGATGTTGATTCTCTGTTCAGATCCATCCAGAGCTGTTGAAATGTGTTCAGATCAGTCTGAGGTGTGAGCACAAGGCACTGCCCTGCTCAAATCTGGGCATCTACTCTAGACACTGAGTTGGTTATTTTAAAGTTGGTGCCATTTTTATGTGTGGATCCTCTTGCTGATTAAAATGAGAATCCAAGAGTAATGGTGTGTATATTGGCAACGGCAGGGATAGGGAGAAAACCAAATTATCTCTGCAGGTTGATTCAGATGGTCCTGTTTGTGTCATGCCCCAATCTGTCTCRTTTCCCAGACCTGCTCCAAGCATCCCTGGAATCAGTTAATCCATTCTGAGCATAAACAAGCAAAACTGGGGGTTCCTTTTGTGTTCTTGAAAAATGAAGCAGAAAGTCTTCAGTGAGCAGCTYCTGTTTCTCTTGGCTTTGCAAAAGGAGAGTGGCCCCTGATTTGGGGTGATTCTTTTTTTCCTCRAGGAGGTCAAAGGAAGCCAATAAGAAGTCTCCTTTGGTGGAAGAGGTTTTCCTCAGGTAACAGTTGCTATGACAATWTTTTGACTCATTAAGAATTAAACATGAATGGAAGAACAATTCCTTCTGCATTAGTGTTCACCTAGCAGGCTTTTGAGTGAAGACTGAATATGGTTTTCCCTGGTTGCTGAAGGGGGCAAGAAACACAAGTTGCTATCTTTGCTCTGAAGTACAGGTGAACTTTTACCTAGAGCTGCTGGTGCTGGTGGAATCCCCAGGAGAGATAAGGCTCTTTGCATACTCTGCTCCTCGATGGCCGTGGGGAATGAGGAAAGAGTGGGATGAGCATCTCTGACTAATCTGGAATGAACACATCAGTCTTGTCTCTCAACAATTKACTATATTTAGCATGAAGTAAGAATGGATTTTGCCCAGTTGAAAACACTATTTTTCCACGTTCACTGGTGCTTGCTGYGCTTGCCATTGGCTGTACTGGTGTTACTGGGATTTTCCCCCAATGGATTTGGAAATATATAGAGCAGGCTGTGCACTGCAGTCTCAAACCCCCTTGGAAACTCAGCCCTGCCTTCCTCCTCCCTTTACACCTTGTTCCTGGGCCCCAGCACGTCCACACAGCACTGGCCTCATACCACACACTCATCAAACACTGCTTTATTCTCTAGAAAAATATTCAGGAAATCTCTTGCAGCAGCTTAAGTTACACTCTCATCCTTTCTGGAAGATTCCCTCTTTAATCTCACTTTTGTCCTTTGCATAACCTTAGGAAAACATGYCACTTTTACAAAAGAGCAGTGAAATGATTGCAACAAGTGCTTGGTAAACAGGAGCCTGTCCGCTGCGCCCCAGGCAGCAAGCAAACCTCCTGTGACAGAGGGGGCAGAGCTCTCCCTGGGCTGGGTGGGGCATCCCAAGGGCTTTGAGCAGAAAATGACCCCTCTGGCATGAGGTTTGAGGGGGTTTGATGMGAGGCTGTGATTTTGTATCCTGAAATAAAGCTGCCTGTGAGGAGTGAGTGACCCCCTGCACTGAGGAGACGTGCACCTTCCCCTGATGGAGTGGGAAAGGACTGAGCTGCTGCCTGGCTTCAAAGGGTTGCTGAATTCTGCTGGCCACAGAAAAATGCTTTAATGCCTGCAGCAGCTGCTGAAATTAGAATGAAATGAAATACTTTCTTCTGGATTAGTTACTGCAAAATCTCTCAACCCGGCCTGTGTGAAAGTTCAACTGCTTCCTTTGTTCATGAGGTGAAGGAGACTTTTGTCAACTCCAGTGTCTGGGTTTTCATTATTCTTAAATAAAGGTCTGTTTCTCTATTTATTAAAAGTCTAAAACCTCTTTGTACTTTTAAAATTGGCTGTTAGCATCTGGGCTTCTCATTAAAGGTGCTGATAGGTCATGTGTCATCACAGGTGACCTTCAAGAGCAGTAAAGGGCAGGTTTTGATCCTGAAGGTGAACGAGGGAAAGATGAAGCTTTTCTACCAGCCTTGTTCCAGGCCGCCGTTGGCTGTGCCCACAGCTCCTTTCCATATCTCTCCCTTACAGCTGCAGTGCCTTGAGGGTGGTTTGAGGACTTTTCCTCTCGTTGCCTTTCCTGTGTTGGGCACAGAAGAAGAAATCCCTGGTGTAGAGTCCACCCATTGTCAGCCATGAGGGGCACAGGTCACTCAGCAGCCCAGACATGACTTCTGTTTGTAGGAAAGGGTGCTTGTAACACAGCTCCTCCTCTCCAAGCATTTGGGACATGACTGTTTCTTGCCAGACTTGGAAATGGCTCTGGAGGAGCTGGAAAGGAGCTGCCTTTGSCTGCCCCTGAGCATYTGTGTGCTCAGACTSTACTGCTGCTTAACTTACTCCTGATCCGCACTGAATGAAAAGAAAACCAGAGCCTCAGTGTTGATTTATCATGGAAGGGAAGCTGACCTTGGAATGGAGATAGTTGATGGGACWGCCCTGGTGACTGTGGGCCATCCTGGAGTCTCTGGATGACCTCCTTTATCTTCCCAGCTGTGGGCAATCTGGGGCAGGCAGTTTGTTGTGACTMCCTGTGACAATACTTTAGTCACCTGCCATGACACAAACATGTTTCTGTCCCCAGAGCAACTGTTTATGGCTGGAGTGATGCTCCTCAAGCAGCAGAGCTCCACCCTGGTGGGGTGTGTGAGGGTCTCTTGGAGCAGATTGAAAAATACTGGGTGTTATTATGAAGAAAATCCCGTGTTTCCTGCATCTTGGCAAAGCCAGGCAGTCCTCTCCTACATATTGCCTGTTAATTTATAATCTCTTTGGTACCTTGTAAAATAACTAAAGGAAGTTTAACTGCTGTCCTCAAAGATGTGTAAATAAATATCGATGATGAAAGAGCAGCATCTAGCAATTCKTGCTGAGTCTCACTTTTTCTGGGCAGACCCCTCCTACCTGCCATTAATAATTACCTATGAGGAGGCACTGATTTATGGCAGTACCTAAAGTAAACTTGATAATGTCAGAAAAACAACATTTTTCCTGTTTTTTTGTAAGCAAGTTCAAATGCATCCAGCCCGGAAGTGGGATTAATGGTTTTTCCTGGTCAGTTATCCATCCTTCCCGATAGGAATGGCCCTGGCCTGGCCAGGTGTTGCCAGAGAGGTTGGAGGAGCATTTGTGCACATCCAAGAGCCCATCTTGCCCGGCCATCCTTTTGGTCTCGCAGGTGGTGTCACTGCAGACGTGATGCGACTCATGAGGTCATTCTGGAGTAGACAGTTTCGTGATGTCACACTTGACGCTGCCAGGGCATTGATACTGCTGTGACAGAGCTGGAACTGAGCCCTCTGGGTGACTCCAGAGGTGTTGCTGTCTTTGAGAAGTTCCAGGCTTTCCCCCTCCCTCCCTGCACATCAGTTCAGTGTCACAGTGACCTTTGCTTCCACAAAATGTTTTCTCAATAATTAATTATTGAGGTTTGAGTAGTTTTGTGCATATTTGGTTTTATACAACACCCCTGTCACGAAAAATCTTCCAGTCAACCCAGTCTTCTCCAGATCGGCTCTTTAAACTGCATGACTGGTTCTTCTGCCTCGAGTGACTGTGTAGCTTCACCTTCCTGTTGTAACATTCCATTAGATGCTTTCCACACTCCACTTTCTGCTGGAATTCCCTGAGAATGCTGAAATRCAGCAAAGGCTTTGACCAAGGCTGTTTCCTACTCTTCTGGCATCCTCAGATCAAGGTGCTCTCTGAACCTCCCCAGCCGCCTCCCCCACCTGCAGCTCCTCCAAGGCTCTCCTTGTCTTTGGCTTTTCCCACTCAGGACAAATATGTTTAAACCTTTGTGCTCTTAGAAATACGTTATGATTTGTGTTTGCTCTGAGACAGGAAACCAAGCCAAGGTGCTTCATTGGGAGTCTTGGTCCCAGGTATTTCCAAGAGCCACTGAACAGAGGCATGTGAGGGTGAGCTTGGCACAGCTTGGCTGCCAGGAAACCAAGGAGCTCAGGTTTGAAGAACAGAGTCAGCAAAGGGTTGTGGCACCTTGAATACTGGGACTTCCAAAATAAATTTGCTGTATGATTTCCTCTCACTCCAGAAAATTCTCACTCTTTGATCTGAGGAGATTTACCAGCACATGCTTTGGCTGCAGCCTTTGTRGAGAGAGGGATGGAGAGTCTGATTTCAGGGCTGTGGAGGGCAAGGAGCTGCTTCACATCCCTTTTCCACCGAGCAGCTCCTGTGTGTCTTCCTGAGCCAGGAAATGCCCTGTAGCTGCTGTTGGAGGGGTTTTCCCTCTAAAATTCACACCGAACAAAAGTGCTCTTTGGATAACTTTCCCTTTTTAATGTAGGATAGATATCCAGCAGCAATAAATCCAACTGCAATAAAATCTCTTCCTTTGTCCCCAGAACCTGCCACCCTGCTGTGTGGGGGCAGCCTCCTGTGCCCATGGAACACAAACTGCAAACCTTCTCACTAGATTTTCTGGCCATCCAGAAGGAGTCTGGCTTTGCTCCCTATTCCAGTTCAGGGTTTTTTTTTTGTTTTTTTTTGGCAGATGAAAAATCCCCTGCAGCCGTTGCTGAGGGTTTGAGACACCAGGTGTAGCTGGGAAATGAAAGGGAAGCACGGCTGAGCCTCTCAGTTTGAGTTCCAATAATGACAATGATAAAGATAATTATAGAGATAATGGTTCAGTTGAGGCTTTATCAAAGAAGAGGCGGTTTGATCACACGGTGCCCATCARCCCTGAGGTTCAGGGAGAGGACAGACTGTCCAAGGCTGGAATTATCTCTCCTGCTGTGCCWCTAGAAGAGCTGGTGTCTGCCCTGGGAGGGTATGGACGCCTGGATGGATACAGGACAGAACAAGGGGCACTCAGAGCTGAATCTTCACGATGTATTTACACCTGAGGAGTTTTCAGTCTTTTAGTTGCACCCTGGGGATGTTCATAACCTCGGCATATCCATGGAAATAATGATAAAACCATCAGAAATCTGTTTAAAGTAACTCAGCAGGTGGGACAAAGCAGGAAAAAAAAAATTAACAAATATTACTCATGTCAAGTGGTGCCTGATCTGTGTTTTACAACAACCCATGTTCTAAAGCAGTTTTTGGGGCTGGAGTGAGCTCAGCCCGAGCTGCAGGTAACTGTCCATGCAATACAGCCATAAAAACCTCACGTGAGTCCCCGGAAATATCTCGGGGCAGCTACTGCTGCCCCAGTGACCTGCTCTAACCCAGGGCTGGCAAACAGACCCGGTTCCCTTCCCTCTTTCCCGGCACGGGTTAGTAAGGACGTGATAAAACCAGGTATTTCTCCTCCCCGGCTCTCTGAACTCTGCCCCGCCTGCAGCCGGCAGCATTTGCATGTGAAAAGCAGGGGGAAAGGTAAAAGGCACGCGGTAGTTTGCCAAATTACGGAATTTCTGCCCAGCGGCTGGGCGGAGGAGGAAACTCGGGAACACCTCTGCCCTGCCTCCTGCTCCAGGGTATTTAACCTCGGGTGTCGGGGCTGGAGCCGCATTTCTGCTGCCTCCAGCTCTCATTCCTCCAGCTCTCATTCCTCCAGCTCACATCATTCCCTCACACATCTCTCCGGTTCCCTGCGAAGGAGGAGCAGCCGTGGGCAAGATGAGCTGCAGCAGGTACCCCGTGGATGTGAAGGCTGTTGGCTTCATGCAATGCAGAAAGCAAAAGGTACTTTTTTTTCCTTTCCCCCCCTCCTTAAATACAATTTACAAATTGGGAAACTGGAGGAGTTACTCTTTTGGGGGTAGGTTTGCTCATTCCCCACAGCGTTGGGATTGGAGCCTCAGCATCCTAGGACAAGGGAACTTGTTATTTTAAGGGGTTTAAAATCTTGGCTTTTGCTCTCTTTCTGTTACAATGCCATAAAATTCTCCTAGTTTCAGCAGTGATTTTCCATTTGGGGTATGAGATTAAAGTAATATTTTTGTAGGCGTAATGTTTAATTAAATTGTTTAATATGACATTAAAAGCCTCAACTAAACCACAGTAAATGCTGATTGCCTGAAATCATCCAAACTTAAACTTTGTGATTAAATTGCTTTTCTTTCTTATTTTACCAGAACTACATGATGTTTGTGTCTTGGTCAGAYCAGAACAACATTCTCATCTACAGGACATTTGAAGAGTTTAAGAAATTCCACGTAAGTGAATTTTCAATTCCTGAAATGCCAAAATTCCTGTCCTAGGGAGGGGGAAGGAGCCTGGCTGTGTGTCGGAGCTGTGAGGAATCACTGTTCTCTCCTTCTCCTTGCTTTTAGAAAGAGCTGAAGAGAGCATTCCCCACGGAGAGTGGGTCACTCAGGAGTTTACCCAGGTTTAAAGGTAAGGATAAATCTTTGATAGACTGACAAACATGAGATGATTAGGGACAGTCAACCAATGACAGAGACTGAAGTGTCCGAGTCTGACCTTCTTTTGGAACAGACTAAGGGCTTGCTCCTGCTCTTGCCATGGCACCACTGGGTCACATCATCATGCTTGGGTCTTTTAGTACAGACTTAAAAAAACCCAGAAAGTCTTTTTTAATAAATAATTGCACTTGATAAATTAATGTTACACTTCAAATATTCACCTAGAGCTTCTTGAAACTTTACATGTGAAAAAAGATAAATTTAAAATGTTATAAGATCATATCAGGAGCTATTAGAAATGACATGGAGGGGGGACAGTGACTTTGTACAGTTTGGGCTTGAGCAGGAAGGGTGGGAGGTGAGGACACCCCCATGTTGAGGGAAAAGATGCTGCTCCCAGGGATCCAKATCCATTGCTGTCCTAACCCAACTGTGTTCTTGTTATTTTGAAGGTATAATTATGCAGCATAGGAAGGGTGGGAGGATGAACAGGTGCCTGGAGATCATGAAACTGCTGGAAACGTATTCCCAGGAGCTGCTKAAAACAGATGTGAAAATCTCCCGAGGTGAAGAGGTGAATCAGTTTTTCAAGGCACAGACCCAGGACCTCGATCCGTCCTTCCCTGAAAACAGGTATGAAATCTGAGTTGTACTTTTTGTTTGTTCATGAAACAGAAATATTATGGGACATGGGTGAAAGGGGAACACCACTTACGCTCCAGGGCTCAACTGGGTGCTTCAGTGCAGCTTTAGGTTGTTTCGGATGCCTAAAGCTTTTCTCAGCTTCCTGCAGAAATGATTTTGCCAAAATCAATACAAAACTCAGCCTTCCATGTGAGTTTTTGACATGAGACTTTACTTTCCAGTGTTGTGATCATGCCRTCAGCATTCAGAAGGGAGAAGAGCCCCAAGCCCCTCTCCATCACCCTCCCTCAGGCATCRCAGAGCTACCGCTGCATTGAGGCCTTTGAAACCAAAGACACAAAGAACAAACCTTTTGCAGTGGCTCAGAAGGAAGTTGTGGAAGTGCTAATCAAGGACATGACGGGTAAGTCTGAGAGGATTCAGTGTCAGGGGTGGATGGGCAGATGGATTCATAGCTCAAATGCTGACGTAGTGTCAGGAGTGCAGGGGTGTACAGTGAATGTCCCTCCTGTCTCTTGTGTCCCCTAGCCAGGGATTATTGTAACCTCTCAACTTTTACGCTGTTAAAATCCGGGTATTTTTGCTCTTTGTAGGCTGGTGGCTGGTGGAAAATGCAGACAAACAGATAGCCTGGTTCCCAGCCTCTTACTTGGAAGAGCTTGATGTCTATGAGGACATCCAGAATGCCTTTAGCTCAAATGAGGAGGGTAAGTCTGTTTCTCCTTCAGAACATGAGTTCTGCAAAGCTCCACCCCTTTACCCACTGCCTGGAGTCCCTGCMTGGACCTCTGGCTCTTGTGGGTGGCTCTGGGTCATGGAATCCTGGAATGGTTTGGGCTGGAAGGGACCTCGAAGCTCATTCAGTCCCACCTTCTGCCACGGGCAAAGATACCTTCCACTGTCCCAGGGTGCTCCAAATCCCTCTCCAACCTGGGTCTTGGACACTTCCAGGGATCCCGGGGCAGCCACAGCTTCTCTGAGCAGCCTGTGCCAGGGCTTCCCCACCCTTCTTCCTTATATCCAACCTAAATGGATCGGATTGGGGTCTCCGAGCAAACCAGCCACTCTTGGGGGCAGCTGTCCTGTCACTGGAATTGGGGCGTTTTCTCCGCAAGACAAATCCAACCTCTCCCTCTCTCTGCAGGCAGCCTTTACTTTGTGGTGCAGGCCTACGAGGCTCAGAAGGCAGATGAGCTCTCACTGAACCACGGGGTGGTCGTGGAGGTGGTCAGGAGGTCCCACAATGGCTGGTGGCTGATCCGGTGAGGAGGCTTTCCCCAAGCCCTGGCTCCCTGAGGGAGCTGCTTACCTGCTGCAKGTGCTGCTTGCTGCTCCTCCCTGTGTGGGACGCACAGGAGCTCCCAGAGCTGAATATCTCAGCTGGGGATGTTTTCCCTGTCCTCACACCCCGTGTACAGCACGGACCTGCTTCCCCAAGTGCTCTGCTCTCTGCCCTTGGCTGGAGCTGCTGGAAGGGTCTCCTCAATGTTCTTTCCATCCCTACCCTCAGGTACAATGGCTGCACTGGCTACATGCCCTCGCTGTGCCTCCGGCCCTACAAGAACCCTCACCACAAACTCCAGACCATCATGAGCGGCGGCCTCAACTCCTCCACCCCAAACCTGTGCTGCCCCCAGCCCCGGGGAGAGGCTGTGGCTCAGCCCRGCCCTTCCTTTGTCCCCCGTGAAGAGGACGGGAGCTCTCTGAGAAGCAGATCCCRGTCCCTGCCCAGGGCCAGCTCCACCCCGGAGCTGGATTTGGACAGCTCCTCGCTGAGCTCAGGGAGCAGCGGCGATGGGGACACCCGGCTGGCCTGGAAAGCCGACTTTTCCCGCTCGCTGCCTGAAGTGGAGCAGGCCAGGAGCTCTCCTGCCCTGAGACACAGCCTGGCCTCACACAGCAGCAAATCCCCACACCTCGGCACCAGGGACAGGAACGATTCTGGCTTTGTGGAGCCCTCTGCGGCCGAGCTCAGCCTGTCCCTCRCTGACCCCGAGCCGGCCATGGATGTCCCCAAGGTGCCGGCGCGTCCCTCGGCCCGCGAGATCCTGCAGAGGTGCAGCACGGTCACCAAGCGGGCACTGCAGCAGTCGGCTCCCCGGCCGGCTCTCCCCATGCCCAGCCGCCATTAGGGTCCTGGGGGAGGGGACATGAGGCCAGCCCTCACACCCCACCCGCCACAGTCCCCTGGGAGCAGCTTTGGAGCATCAGGGCTTGGGACCATCCCTTCCTAAGGACTCCGATAGATCCCGAGGAACACACAAATCCATCACCTCCACGGGCAGCACCGTTCCTGCTGCAGCTTGCACAGGGGTCAGGGGGGTGCTGGGAGAGGATTGAGTGGCATCACTCAGTGTGGAGCTGGCAGCTCTGGAGCTGGAGGTGCCTTGGACTCAGYGAGCTCTTCCTGAGGCAGTGCTGCCCCTGCCCTGCAGTTTGTGAGCGTTCCACAGTCGTGGCTGTGTTGATCCCCACATCAGGAGGAGCTGGCACAGCCACTGTGGAGGGCAAAGGAGTGGCACCAGAGGGATTTAGTCACCTGTGGCACCTTGAGTGGCACTGGACTGGGGAGGGATGGCATGGCACCTGTGTGATGTCACTTACCTGAATCTCCTATTTCATGGATGACTTTTTAACTCTTTGACTTAGGTAYTCTTTTGGGGTTTTTTTATAGGTTAGTGGAGAGGCCATGAAATATAGGGATGGGCTGGATCTGCTGCATGGTTGTGAGAACAAAAAACCTGTTGGGGAGGAACCTCATCCCTGCTCCCTCCAGCCATGTCTGTACAGGCACAAGAACACAACTAGGGGTGTCACAGCTTGTGTCCCACTTCGGGATGGCAACAAAGGTCACTTTGATGAACAAAATATTCCTCTTTCCAGGGGTTTGGGTAGTTACTGAAACTCAYGATTCTAATCCTAAACTCATTTGCTAGAGTTGAGTTAGAAAAAGTTAYGGGAAAATTAAGACTTTTCCATACTTTGATAGCTTGAATTGTACTTATTCTCCCAGGTACCTGTTAATATTTTTATAAACAACTTGCATTTGAATTTTATACATTTTTGTCTCTGAAATAAAATACTTATAAAAATTTCTGAAGCCTGCTTCTGTTTTATGCTTCCAAATCTTGCTACTTGGAGAATTTAAATTGAGCTTCTCTCTCTCCCAGGTGCTAAATTTAGGGTGGGCACAGGTGAGACCCCTGGTCCAGCCTTGGTCCAGTCTGCTTTGCCCAAGCAGGATCACAGCTCCATAAATTCTTTAAATCCCAAGAAAGCCCAACTGCCTTTTTATTCCAAACTAACTGCTTGGGAGTCTGAAAATTCAGGATGTGAAAACACAAACCCCAGCTTGGCCAAAAAATTACTCTTTCCTCTCACTCAACCCTGAGGAGATTGGATGCTGGACTAGGTTTAGAAATTAAAACATTTATTATAAAATATAGGAACTACACATCCAGATGCCATCCTGGTGGGAAAGAGCTCTTTGGAAAGAGCAGCTGGTGGGTCGGGGATCACAGAGTGTCCTGGTCCTGCTGGGCCACGTCTGACAGCCTCATATTCTGCCACATGAACTCGATGAACATGGAAGCCTGGAGCAGCCGGCTCAGCCTCTGGAAGTGACGCTCTGCAAGGAGAGAAAAGAGAAGAGTCACAGGAGAGGCAGCAGAATGCATCCTTAGACTGTGGAGCCAGGCTGGGAATGCTGGGAATGTCCAGCCTGGAGAAGGGAACACTCCAGGGAGAGGTCAGAGCCCCTTTGAGGGTCTAAAGGGGCTCCAGRAGATCTGGAGAGGGCCTGGGGACAAGAGATGGAAGAACAGGACACAGGGAATGGCTTCCCACTTCCAGAGAGCAGGGATGGATGGGATATTGGGTAGGAATTGTTCCCTATGAGGGTGGGGAGGCCCTGGCACAGGGTGCCCAGAGAAGCTGTGGCTGCCCCTGGATCCCTGGCAGTGTCCCAGACCAGGCTGGACATTGGGGCTTGGAGCATCCAGGGACAGTGGGAGATGTCCCTGTCCATGGCAGGGGTGGATGAGCTGACCCGTCCCTTCCATCCCAAACCATTCCCTGATCCCTGACCCACACCAGCACCCCACACGTGTCCCCGCAGTGCCTCACCCGTGTAGGGCAGCAGGGACTCCACAGCRGGTTTGATTCCCGAGAACTGCAGGAGGCTGTCCGGCGCCTCGTGCTTCAGGAGCGTTTCCAGGACCGCCTGCGCCTCGTGGCAATTTCGGGAGTTCGTGTTCCACGTCACCAGGAATSCCAGCACTGCCTCTGGGGGGGAAGGAAGCCTTTCCAGGCTGGCACACGGGAGAGGCCAGGCTGGAAAACATCCCTGGGGTCCCMCAGAGCTCCCCTCACACAGTGACCGAGGCTCCCCATCCCTGGAGTGTCCATCCAGTGGAAGTGTCCCTGCCCAAGGCAGGGCGTGGAACTGGATAAGCTTTAAGAACCCTTTCATCCCAAACCATTCCAGGATTCTCATTCTAGGTGACAAAACAAACCTGAGCTGAAAGCTTTCAGCACTTTAATCCTGCAACAAACCTTTCTGATCCTTGCGGAGCCGGACGATGTTCTCTTCCAGGTGCTTTCTGCCCTCCGGCTCCTTGAGGATGGCTGGAGAGAGAAAGGAGGAGTCACCAGGGYTGGGATACCTGGGGTGATTGCACTTAGGAAAGTGGGAAAGGGAAAACTGAGGCTTTCAGGCTTTTGACTGGACTTTGTAGCCTTGAACTGGCTGGAAAAGGTGTTCTGGAAGGCAGAGAGGGCAGCAAACATCTGCAGAGCACGCCCTGGACTCACCCTTGACCACTGTCAACACTGTGTGTGGCCGGTCCAGGGAAATTGCCAGCCCCAGGGCTTTCAGGTACCTCTTCTCATGGAGCAGGTTGGAAAGCTCTTGCTCTCTGCAAAACAAATCGAGGGTGAGGCCAATCTTTGGATGGTGGAAAAACCGCTGCACAAAAAGCAGAAGACTGGGCAGTAACTGTTAAAAAGTCAGTGGTGCTTGTCAATAAATGCCTCAATTCCCTCACTCCAATTTTGGGATCAGATGGAGCTAAATCCATCAGATGGAGCTCTAGGAATGGAGAGTTTCTCTCAACAGCTTGCCTTTCACAGCTCTTTACAGCACAAAGATCAACTCACTTCATAATCTGCTCCTCCTGTTTAGCTTGTGCTTCTTTCTCCTCAATTTCAGTCACATCCTATAAAAGAACAGGATAAACTCCAATTATCCCAATTATTAACCCAGGGAGGAAGCAGGACCCCCCATGCTGTACCTGCCACAGGGTGATGCAGGAGTCACTGGAGGCTGTCACGACCATGTCATCCTTCTTGTTGGAGTGAAGGCCCCAGATTTTATCCTCATGGCCATCTAATGTTTTCACACACTCGTTTGTTTTAATTGTCCAGAGTTTTAGGAGACCATCAGATCCACTTTTGGAAGAGAAACACAACAGAAAGACTCACTGGACAGGTCCATTCTCACTCTGTCCCACCTCAAATACCAGATGAACTTGTCCCATCCCAATGCCTTCCAAATAAGAGCAGAATTAACCAAAAATGCGGAGGGCAAGATGAACCCTTAGCTCTGTCTGTGGTGTTTGTCCCAACCCAACAATGCCACAGCAGCTGTGTGGAATCCACGGAATAAGTGGAGAAGAGGAAGATCAAAATAACCTCAACAGAAGGCTTGGCCTAAACTAAAGGGCATCTTCCTAAAAACCTTCCTGAAAATTCTTCAAACACAAGAACCAATCACCCTCTTGGTGCTGATGATCAGCTCAGATATTTCCTTAATTCTGGAATCTCCCCAGATCCCCAGGACAGTCACGAACCTGCTGAGCAGCTGAGCCCCWCGGCTCACAAAGATGATCTTCAGCACCGAGGCATCGTGGCCTTCAAAGGTCTGCAAAACAGAAAAGAGATCAGGAGTGCCAAAGCCAGGCCTTTGGGGAGATCCATAAAATCCCATTTACTCACAGAGGCCAAAGAAATAAGTTCCAAGTTTTTGGAGGATCCTTAATGAGCCCCAAGGTTTTGCCCAGAGCAAGGGACAGAGTTCTCCTCACCTTCAGACAGCTGAAGTCCCGCAGTCCCCAAAGCTTCAGGGTCCCATCAGCYGAGGAGGTGGCCAGGACCTGATCCATGGGGGAGAACTGCACACACCAGATCCCCCTCTTGTGCCCAGAGAAAACCCCCAGCAGGGAGCAGTCGGAGCAGGCCCAGAGCTTGGCCAGCCGGTCCTGCGAGCCCGTGGCCAGCAGTTTGTCATTGGGTGACACTGCCACGCTGTTGATGTCCTGGGGAAGCCACAGGAGGAGAAGAAAGAAGGTCAGGCTTTGGCTCTGCCATAGGGCAGGGAACAAATAGAGGGAGCAGCACAGGAGGGAGAGTGAAGCACTGCAGGGTCAGGGGGAGCTGTACCTTGTCATGGCCCCTCTCAGTCACCCGGGCATGGAGGGGCTCTGGACTGGAGATTGAGGCTGCTTTCGCTTTGGAACTGAGAGATTCTGGGATGTTCCAGATCTTGATGGTGCAGTCTTGGCTGCTGGTCACCACAAAGCTTTCCTTCAGCCTGGAAGGAGTGGAACCATCACGTGCAGGGAAAACAATCAGTGCTTTCTCCTCCCTGACCAGGATCTCCACACACTCAGCCACTGCTGGGATGTGGAGCTGTGTTTTCCTGGCTTTTCACACTCTTTCATTTCAGAGTGACTCCCCATCCCTGGAAGTGTCCAAGACCAGCCTGGACAGGGCTTGGAGCACCCTGGGACAGTGAAAGATGTCCCTTCTCATGGCAGGGGGTGGGACTGGATGATCTTTAAGGCCCTTCCATCCCAACCCATTCCATGATCCCCTCACACTCGGGCACCACGAGAAGCTGGGAGTAGGAATGAGCAGCAGCACGGCTGGGAGGGAGGCAGCACCCACCAGGACACTCCCCTCCCTCCCTGAGCTCCCAGAGGAGCCTCCCCCAGCCCGTGTTACCTGGAGCAGGCGACAGCACTCACACCATGGGCATGGCCCAGTCCTTGGGCCACRCAGGTCACCCTGCCTGCCTTGCCCATGCGCCACACCCGGATGCTCCTGTCCTGTGGGGGAGAGGACAGACAATGCTGGAGTGTTCTGGGAAGTCACCAGTTCCCTGTGCTTTTGTCACACCCCTGATTTTCCAGCTTGAACCTTTGTCTTTGTCAGAGACACAGACAAACAACATCAGCCTCCACCCTGGGGTTCCAGCATGGATTTCATTCCTGGTTCTATCAGAGCTTTATTTATGRGGGTACCAGGGCTCTTGGCACCTTTTTCCCCATCAGTCTTACACGAATAACTTTTCTGAACCCTAAAATCAGATCAGGATGTTTGGAGAAGGAAACATCTCCTTCAAGGCTGATAAAATACAACCAGTTTTCCCAGTGATAGTATTAAAAATAAATTGTGGGAAAACCTTGTATTTGGGGGATGCAGCAGACAGGGATTGTATGAACAAAAAGCCCTTTCTGRAGTTCCAAAATAATGTAATTTTGCCCACAAGGATCACTGGGAATGAAGAGTTTCATTGAAGGGAGAACAGTGACACACCTTGGCACAGGTGACRAACATCAGGCCTTTTCTGAAGACGTCCAGAGCCAGGATTGTTTCTAAACAGAACAAATAAAAGCTGATGGATGAAGAGAAATATTAAAATGGGACAASAGAAAGGGGTGAGTTCATAATGAGCCCCGTTAATGGGACAGGGGGCAGCTCTGGGACACTGGGACATGACACCCCCAGTCCCTGTGGAGTGTGCCTGTCCTGCACCTACACCTCCAGCTCCAATTCAAACTGATCCCACAGCCAGGGACAGGGACAATGGGATCTGTCCTTTCCCCACACAACTCCCAAATCCGCTCTGATGCCTCTCCAGAGAGAACTCAAGGACTCCTCCCAATGAGAGCTCCAGGAAGCTGGATAAAGGAAGAGCCGCCTGCGTCCCCCCACCAGCGCTGTCACACACCTGTGTGGCCATACAGGATCTGGCAGTGGGATGTCGCCAGCTCAAACACTTTCAGCTGGGGGCTGTTGGTGGCCACAACGATGTGAGAGTCACCAGGRCCCAGGAACTTCACATCCAGAACCTCCTCGTTGTATCCTGCGAGCTGGAATGGAAACAGYCAGGGACAAGGTGGGAATGGCTGGGTTTCTTTTAATACTGGCTGTGATTTCTACACCCAGGAGGGATTTCTGGCTAAGCCTGTTCTGCTTTCTCATTCCTGTGTTGTCTCTGGGCAACATTCCCCCAAAGCAGCGATATTCCCACAGACAATTTCAGAACAGGCCGGAGCCAAGGGCGCCTCAGGACAAAGCTCTCCCAAAAACAGATCCTGGAGCATGGATAAAGGACAAGGCAGGCTGAGGTTGTCACCTGCTTCCTGAGCTGAAGGGTTTGTGCATCATAGAAGACKATGTTGTGCTCCACAGACACAGTGAGGATCTCGTTCCTGGCAGGGACAAACCAGCATTGGGACAGGCTGCGCTCGCTCGGCTCCTCCCGCAGCGCAAAGGGCACGGGCTGGGTGTGCACACAGGCAGCTGTGGCCACGTCCCACACCCTCAGGATGCCTGGAAAAAACAGCAGAAATCATGGYAGAGCCTCTGCTTTACACAGTGGATTTCCAAGGAATATCATCCAAAGCCTTTGGAAAAGCCAAACAGCTCCAAGGTAGACCTGGGCAGGGATCCAGTGGCACCGGCAGGAAAAGCCTCAAAGTTTTCCTTCTTCAGTGCAAATCAAACTTCAGAGTTTGAAAATACAGACAAATGTATTTGAATTAAATTAAATTAAATGGAACAGAGTGTGCCTGCCCCATCCTGCTCACCCACTCCTTACCACGGAACTCAGGAGCAGACTCCGCTCTCCAGCCCAGCAATTCTACCACATGGAGAACACACATCCCAGGAAYAACAGCAGTGAAGCGACTGAAGTGCCACCCTCCAAACGTGGCAGTGACACTCACCTTTGCTGCCAGCTGTGACAAAGTGCAGCCCTTGTTTCTTCACACCCAGCTGAGAGAAATCTCCCTCCTCAGGCAGCAGCACTGCAGCTTCCACGGTCTGCAAGAGTCAGAGAGGCACAGAACCAGAGCTGAAACCCGTGGGAAGGGAGAAAAACCTGATTACACAGCATACAGACCCTAAAGAGGGAGAGCATGGCCTAGAAACTACAAAGGACCTCAAAGGAAGAAACAAAAAGCAGTTTCACCTCGTAGACAGGGATGGTTCGTTTGCTCTGCCTGGTCTCCAGGTCCCAAACCATGCAGATCTTATCACGACCAGAACTGCAAAGGAAAAGCTCAGTTTCAGTGCTAAATCTGTTCAGCTAAATTTGTTCAGCTTGGGTCTGGGTACAACTATGGCACTGTGGGAGTTCAATACCTCTCTGCAGAAGCAAAGGGAGGGAGAGCATCAGCATTCCCTGTGGCAGCACAGGATATTCCCAGAAACATGGGCCAGGTTGGACAAGGTTTGGAGCAATCTGGGATAGTGGGAGGTATCCCTGCCCAGGGTAGGGGTGGGACATCCTTAAAGGATGGGCTTTAAGGTCCCTTCCAACCCAAACCATTCTATGATCCCAAAGCAGAGGTGCTGACACCCACTAAGCCCTTTAAGAGCCTTTCCTTTCACAGCAGAACCCACCAGACCCTCCAGCATCCCCCAGTCCTGCAGGAGGTGAGCAGGACAGAGGCCAAAGCCCTGCCAGGAGGTACCTCAGGAGGGTGTTCCCATCTGCAAAYGCCAGCGAGGTGACAGCGCTGAAGTGCCCGTCCAGTGCCGCCACACATTTGCTGGACTTCAGGTCCCAGATGCGGATCTTGTAATCGATGGAGGAGGAGAAGAGCTGCAGGCGGGAGATGTCCGGGTGGAACTCCACCAGGCTGGGCAGGAGGAGAGGGACAGGACAGGAGTAAACCATCCAACAGTTAAATAATGCACATCCCACAGCTGCATGGGTTGGGTGGGCTTGGAGCATCCTGGGCTAGGGGGAGGTGTCCCTCCCTGATGATTCTGCGATTCCATGAAAATCCTGGACCAAACCAATTCCTCTCTGGGCAAAATCAGCCATAACCCTGCTCTCAAAAACCAGGAAGAAGAGCCCAGAACCTGCTCAGAACAGACCATCACATTCCATTACCTCAAGAATTTTATATCATTCCCAGTATTCCAGCACCACACTAATTCCACTGACTGACAAACACTTACTGTACCACTCCAGAGGATCCTTTCAGGTTGTGCGTGCAGTAGTGTTTGATCATATCCCAGATCTTAATGGTGCTGTCACAGCCACCTGGGAAAAGATGGAATTGAATTCTGGAGGAAAGCTGTGTGAARTCCAACACATCCCCAAACCCAACATGGCACTGGAGCACTGAACCTCTCCTGGCACTGCACTCGGGAGGTCTCTGCCATGAGAGAGAGCAGAACATCCCTTGGGCCACCCCCACTGTGACAGTGACCCAGGCTCGTACCTGTGGCCAGCAGGGTGGCCGTGGGGTCGAAGGCCATGGTGGCCACGGGCGCGGTGTGCACGGCTCGCCAGGTGCGCTCACACCTGGGCTCCCTCCAGTGCCACTGCCGCAGCAGCAGCGCCCGGCTGCCTGTCACCAGCACCTGGGGACAACGGGGCGAGGGAAGCACCATTAACCACGGATTCACTGATTTGGTTTGGATTTCTGTCAGTCCCACACACACAGCACCGAGGTGACGCTGCTGGAGCTGCAGCTCTCAGCAAGTCTGAGCCAGAGCCAGAGGGAAGGGGCTGAGGAGGCTCTGYGGGGATCTCGGGAAGCACAGAGGTTTATATCAGGAGGAATGTCCCAAGCTGGAAGGGATGCACAAGGATYATYGARTCCAACCCCCAGCCCTGCACAGGACACCCCAAAATCCCCCCAWTCCTGTCCAAAGRCTCCYTCAGTGCCTGTCCCYRGCTGCTGRTGGTCCCCAGCACAAACCCACCTCATTGTCAGGGCTGAGCACAAATGCAGTGACATCCTCTTCCTCCTCCTGGGAAAACAGAGAGAAAATCCCACAGTTAAATCATCCCTGGAGAGATCTCTGGGCTCCCTTCTCTGCACAGTTCTGGTGACACCGAGCACAGCTCAGGGACCACCCAAACCCCACCTGTCTGTGTTTGGGATCATTCCCACCCTCCCTGCACTCCTCACTCCTGGGAGCTTTATATCAACAGTGGAAATCCCCCCCGGGAGCCTCGGAAAACCCTCAGGAGAGGCTGATCCCCGTCACCTGCTGCAGACTGTGCAGGACAGCTCCTGTTTCCACATCGATGACGTTGACTTTGTTCCCACAKGGGCAGAACATGAACTTCCCATCGCGGCTTATCTGCAGAAAAGGGAACGAGAACAGGAACGTTTTAGAGTCGGGAGACGCGACATTCCCAAACTCTGCAGAGCCGAGATTACCTGGATTCGCCCTCCTTTGTAGAACGGCTCGATCTTCCGCGTCGCGGCGTAGCTGCAAGGGAAAGAAACACGCGGAGCGGCCCCGTTAAAGCGGAGCGGAGCGGCAGCGGTTCCGCGCAGCCCGCCCCGGCCCCTCACTCGCCCTCACAGCCGCAGCCCGGTCCTGCCGGTCCCCCACTCGCCCTCGCAGCCCCAGCCCGGTCCCTCACTTGCTCTTGAAGCGCACGGGGGTGGCGGCGGCCGGCTCCGTGTCCGCCATGGCCGTGGCCCACGTGCTTCCGGCTGCGCTGAGGAAACACTTCCGCCCGCGCCAGTGACGTCACGAGGGGGCGGCCGCAGCTCGGCGAGGGACAGGGGCGGTTCCGGGATAACAAAATGAAAAATTCCAATTCTGCCGTGCGAACGGCGACAGCCCGGCCCGGAGCAGCTCCCGGTGCATCTTCTCAGCGATCCCGAGCGCTCTCCAGCAAAACATCCCCTCCCCGCCCCAAGGAAGCCACTTCCCGGTCCGACCATAGCGTAAAGCAGGATTTTTCACAATTAGAAGGAAGAGAGACGCTTCAGCTTTTCCGCATATTATCTTTTATTGCAYATAAAAACACGAAAACGACTCGTTTTGCGCTGTAACTCTCGTGTCGCCGTCCATCACAGCATCCCCGTGCTCGTCACAGCTCCTCCGGGGAAGGGATCGCCACGGCAGTGCCAGCCCGGTCCATGGCAGCTCTCACGGGCCAGCCAGGGGCACCTGTTACAGGAGAACAAAGCGCTCTGAGAAACAGYCATTCCAACACCATCATTCCCGGTRCCAGCCGGGCACGGGGCTTATGGGAACATGGGTTTCATTACCCACAGACAGCCGTGGGCAATAAGCTTAATGTTCCTGATGCTATGGGCGCTGTTATCTCACCCAGGGCCACAGCAGACCCCGAGTGATTTTCAGACCGCGCCGGGCGCTACCGCGGCCCCCGGAGCGCCTTCCCGGGATGTTCCCTGCATCCCTCCCGGCCAGGCTACGGCTCGAACAGCGCCATAACCACTTCCCAGCAGAGCTTTATAAAGGTTAAAGGCGCACAGAAGGAGGCGGATGTGGCAATGCCACACCGCTCACACACACCCACACCACCTCACCTTCCGCCGCCCCCGCCGTGCAATGGACGTTCCTCGCGTGCGCGCCGTTTATATACCGGGATCGCACCCCGCCCGCCCCACACCCTGTATAACTAACCACGAATGGCTCAATCTACACTGCGATGTATTCCTTATTCAGGTCGCAGGGTCCTCACCGCCGGGTGCTGCTCTCGCGAGATGCGCGCGGACTATAAATAGCGGGCGGCGCGGAAGCGCGGCCTTCTACGCTGAGAGATCACGTAAGTACAGCGGGAGCGATGGCGGCGGGGACCGGGCGGCGCCGGGCCCATCCGGCCCCATCCGCGGCCAGCGGGGCCCGGTTCATGCCCCGCTTTGTTCCAGCAAATGGCGGACGACGCCGGTGCTGCGGGAGGAGCAGGAGCGGCCCGCGGGGGCTTCCGCGGTGGATTCGGGACCGGGCTGCGGGGCCGCGGCCGCGGCCGCGGGAGAGGCCGCGGGAGAGGACGCGGAGCCCGCGGAGGTAAAGCCGAGGATAAGGAGGTGAGTGGGGAGCGGGGGTGCGGGACCCGGGGCTGGGTGTGCTGCCAAATCGCGAGGATGGGGCATTAGAGCCGGGTCCCGGTGGGTGCTGGCACCTGGTGACTCTTGTCCATGCATGTCTTTGCCAGTGGATTCCTGTCACCAAACTCGGTCGCCTGGTCAAGGATATGAAGATCAAGTCTCTTGAGGAGATCTATCTTTTCTCGCTTCCCATCAAGGTGAGTTGCTGTGGTCGTGGAAATGAAGGGTCAGAGACATACTGGGGGTGTTCATCTGGAGAAGAAGGGGGCCCGGGGAGACCTTGGAGCCCCTTCTAGCGCTTTAAGGGGTTCCAGGAGAGCTGGAGAGGGACTTGGGACCAAGGCCTGGAACGACAGGACAAGGGGGAATGGCTTCCTACTGCCAGAGGGCAAGGTGGGCTATTGGGAAGGAGTTCTTGTAATCGTGGGGGGACCCTGGCATAAGTTGCCCAGAGGAGCTGTGGCTGCCCCTGGATCCCTGGGAGAGCCCAAGGCCGGGTGGGACAGGAGTTGGAGCAACCTGGGGTAGTGGAAGCTGTCCCTGCCCATGGCAGGGGTTGGATTAGCACATCTGTAAGGTTCCTGTAAACCTAGACCATTCCAGGATTCCATTATTCCTGTGTGCTCAGTACCTGACTCTTGCAGGAGTCGGAGATCATCGATTTCTTCCTGGGCTCCTCGCTGAAGGATGAGGTGCTGAAGATCATGCCTGTTCAGAAACAGACCCGTGCTGGGCAGCGCACTAGGTTCAAGGTAATCCCCTGTTCTTCTGCATTGTCACATTCACAACTTCCTTCCTGAATATTTGGTGACATTTTAATCGCTCCAAATCCTCATTTCTGTTACATTTAGTAAGTGTTCTGCTGTGAGGATGATTAATAGTTTTCTGAGTRTATTAGCTTCAAAAAAAACCAAGTTGTGTGCAGATGTTCATTGAAGCAGCACTGGTATAGACGTTAGACTGCAAGACTTTTAAAAGTCCTTTTAACCAAGCTATTTGGACACTGCAAAATTTAATTCCTTTSTCACAGCAGTGTTGGGTTTTCAGGGAGAAGTTTTGGGTATAAAGAGGAAATGCTGTTTGGAAATCATGAGCAGTTCTGACCAGTGTGAGGCCGCAGCAGAGAACTGAATCCCAGTTCTGTAGCCTTGTCTGATTTTGACTGAAGGATGAGGTCTGAGGGGAAAAATGAGTTTCAGCAATTGTGAGCTGTGCTGTGCATGGTTTGGGGGTGAGCTGTGTGTTCCTGCTGAGCACAGGCCACAGAGTATCCCTGGTGGGAGATGCCACTGAGGGAGCAGTGAAAACTCCTCTCCTGCCCACAGGCATTTGTTGCTATYGGGGACTACAACGGCCACGTGGGGCTGGGGGTGAAGTGCTCCAAAGAGGTGGCCACAGCCATCCGYGGGGCCATCATCCTGGCCAAGCTGTCCATCGTGCCTGTGCGACGTGGGTACTGGGGCAACAAGATCGGGAAGCCGCACACGGTGCCCTGCAAGGTGAGTGTCCCCTGCCAGCCTGGCCCTGGGGCTGTTCAAGGGCTGTGTTCTGGAGCTGTGACCCACCCTGTCCCTGCAGGTCACTGGGCGCTGTGGCTCCGTACTGGTGCGTCTGATCCCGGCTCCCCGTGGCACCGGGATCGTGTCYGCCCCTGTCCCCAAGAAGCTGCTGATGATGGCTGGCATCGATGACTGCTACACATCGGCACGGGGCTGCACGGCCACCCTCGGCAACTTTGGTGAGCTCTGGGACTGGCACGTAGCTCATGGCCGCTTTTGTCACTGATGGGGCACAGCATCTTCATTATAGTGTTTGTGCCTCTGGTGATGATGCAGAAGCCAAGACTTCTGCTGACTGTGCAGCTTAGTCCTGCTGCAGGTAACCCTCGAGTTCTGTATAARTTACAGAAATTGTGGGTTTTAGGCTTGACACCCCAGAATCTCCCAATCTGCGCGATTGCACTTGCGTGCCGTAGTGTAATTGTCGTAACTGGAGAGAGAGAGAAACCTGRGTTTTGTGGGTTCATCAGAGAGACCCTCCTGTGGTTTCCCTGGTCCTTTCAAAATTCCACATTTTTGTGACTGGGGGATATTTTGGAGCTGTGGGTGGGATCAGCAGCTGGTTCTGCAGCAATTAATGGGCAGCGTATGACATCTCTCTGCAGCTAAAGCCACCTTTGATGCCATCTCCAAAACCTACAGTTACCTGACTCCTGACCTCTGGAAAGAGACTGTCTTCACCAAGTCTCCTTACCAGGTAAGAGCCTTTTGGTAGCCTGCAGCTCAAGACTTACCCTTCTTGTCCTTAAAATCTATATTTCTGTACCCAAAGAATTGGTAGTTTAAAAGTTGAGCTACCTGGTCCCACATGCATGCCATGGATAGGAGGTGGTGCTGACAAACCTGTGAGGTTTGAGGGAATAATCCAAACTGATGTGCTTTTTACAGGAGTTTACTGATCACCTGGCGAAGACCCACACGAGAGTGTCGGTGCAGAGGACCCAGGCAGCAGCTGTGGCCACGACCTAAGTGGGTTTTGTACCAGAATAAAATGATATGAGAACGAGGAATCGGTGGTTGGTGTCATGGGGTTGGGTGTGCAGGGCAGGTGGGTTAAATCTTGGAATGGGATGGGTTGGAAAGGACCTGAAAGCTCATCCCGTTCCAACTCCTGCCATAACTAACACACTCCTTCCACTAACCCTGGCTGCTCCAAGCTCTCTYCAGCCTGGRGCTGGGCACTTCCAGGGTCACATCATCTTTACCCAGACTTAAGGAATTCACAGTCAGGGTTGGGCAGAGCAGCACACCGAGTATTCTGGTGGCTCATGGAGGAGAGGGAGAGGTCCAGAGGGYAAATCCCAGTACTGGCAGCCCCAAGTGCCTGGAGTTGGGCTTTGCAGAAATCTTCAAAGAATGAATACAGATYGGAACTGTACAGATGTCTTTATTGTGGAGGCCACCAGCACCAGAGGTCAAGGAGGCAACATGCACTTGGGTACCAGCACCATGGAGGAGCTCTACTCCTTTCCTTGTTCTGCTTTCCTCTCCTCCATCATCCTGTGCTTCTGCTTCATCAGGCAATCCCGTGCATTTCCATGGAAACCCAGTTCACCATCTGAAAAAGAAAGGGAATGTCTGAGCAGTGCCTCCCACCAGCCTGTGTTCCATGAACACTGGGATGCGGTTTCAAACTCCCTTTCCCTAGGTTTAGGACCTTTCCCTCTGTGCTGCTGCCATACTCACATCTGTCCTGGTAGGCCTTGGTGACCTGTGCCAGCAGCTCCATCTCCTTGGCACAGTTCTGGAACTGGTTGGGCCCTTCCCTTTGCTTGCACGCAGCCAGCCTTTCCCGGACTATCTCCACGATTTGCTGATCGACCATCCTGTGGGAAAGATMGTGATGAACGCAACAGCAGCCATGAGATGAGATGACAGAAAAGCTGAACCAAGGGTTTTTCAGGATCCTGGTCCCTAATGCCATGCCCAGGTGTGCTCCAGGGACAGCAGGACACTGACATTTAATGGGGTGGGCTGGAGGTGCTGCCTCAGCAGCCCAACATCCAAAATGCTGCAGGTCCCAGAGCTCTGCTCTGCTGGGACCTCACATGGGGACAGTCTGGGGACAGCCATACCTGTCCCTCCTCCACTGCGCCTCAGCCTCATAGTAGCACAGGTAGTCACCCTCCAGGCATTCGCTCAGGTCGGGCACACGGCGGAACTTCTGGTGGTAGTAGTGGGCCTTGTCCTTGGGTTGCAACCGCTCAATCAAACCTGCAGGGACAGGCTGGTCACACACCCCAGCCCCCAGTGCCAAGGGGCAGCACAGCCCGGTGCCACCTTCCCAGGCAGCAGCAATAGGCCCATGTATGTCCAGCTCACACCCACCTGTGTGTCTGTCAGTGCTGTCCCCCATGTCTTGCCCATGCTGTTACTCTGTCCCTGCATCCCAAGCCCCTGCACTTCTAGAGTCCAAGCTGTGTCCCCATGTCCCTGTATCTGTCCCAGTGTCCATGCTGTGCCCCATGTCCCTGTTCCACTATCAATACTGTGTTCTTGTCTGTGTCCCATCTCYCTTTGTCTGTCCCACTATCCACGCTGTGCTGTCTGTGCCATGTCCCTGTGTCTGTGCTGTGTTCTTCTGTGTGTCCCCTGTCTATGTCTGTCCCTGTGTCCATGCTCTGTCTCATGTCCCTGTCTCTCTGTCCATGCCGTGTATTTGTATGTCCCATGTCCCTATGTTCGTCCCACGTCCCTGTGTCCATGCTGTATTCTTGTCAATATCTCATGGCTCTATGTGCCAGTGTCCTGTCCCTGTGCCTATGCTGTTACTGGCAGGACCCGTGCTCTGTGTCCTTGCGTGTGCCCTTTGCCTGTCCAGGTGCCCGTGTCCTCACGCCTTTGCCCCGTGCCCCGATGTGCCCGTCCCGGTGTCCCCGTCCCCACATCGCTGCCCAACTCCCACAGGGAGAGGGGGCGGCGGGGGTGGATCTCGTCCCGCCGGTACCTCGGACGAAGGTGACGGGCGCGTCGATAACATAGCTGAAGGCGGTCTGGAAAAAGTCGACGGGATTGGGCACCGACGTGGTCCTCTCGGAGACRGGGGTGCGGGTCGGGGGCACCTTGTACGCCTCCCAGTCGTGATCCTCCGGCATCGCGGCGGCRGCGGCRGTGGCGGCGGAGAAAGATGGCGGCGACCCCTGGGGGCGGGAGGGCGGGAATATGGCGGCGACCCCTGAGGGGGCGGGACCGGGGGAATATGGCGGTGGCCCCGGGGCACGCCGGGAGTTGTAGTTCCCGTGTCCCTCCGTGAGGGGATCCCGGAATCCCGGGATGGAAGGGTTCAGTRTGTCCCGTCTGTGCCGCCTCCGTGCTCGGCAGGGCCATCCCAGCACCCGGCGCAGGACTGTGTCCAGGTGGCTCTGGARTGTCTCCAGGCAGGGAGACTCCGCACCCTCTGTGGGATCTGTTCCAGTGCTCGATCTCTGCGCAGGGATAAAGTTCTTCCTCATGTTCAGGTGGAGCTTCCTGGGCATCAGCTCTCGCCCGTTCCTCTGATAGCATCGCTGGGCCCCTGGAGCAGAGCCTGGTCCCTGCTCGGAGCCCTCCCTGCACACAGGGACAGGCAGCCATGGGGTCCCCTCTGGGCTGGGGTTCCTCTGGAKGCGGAGCAGCCCCGGCTCCCTCAGCCCCCCCTGGGCACCGACATGCTCCCGGCCCKTCCTCATCCCCGCAGCCTCCGCTGGCCCCGCTCCAGGAGCTGCCTGTCCTGCTGAACAGAGCCCAAAGCTGGACACGACACCCCAGATGTGCTTCCCAGGGCTAGGCAGAGGAGCAGAACCACTCCCTGGCCTGCTGGAAATGCTTCCCACTGACAGAAGGAGGGATAAATGGGATATCTGGGAGAAATCTTTCCCTGTGAGGGTGCGGAAGCCCTGGCACAGGGTGCCCAGAGAAGCTGTGGCTGCCCCTGGATCCCTGGAAATGTTCAAGGCCAGGTTTGACAGGGCTTGGAGCAACCTGGGACAGTGGAAGGTGTCCTTGCCCATGCCAGGAGTTGAAACAAAGTGTTCTTTAGGGTCCCTTCCAATCCAAACTGCTCTGTGATTCCACGATCTATTGTCTCGATCTCTTTTCCAGCCAGAATGACAAAGCCTTTTTGCCTGGGCTGATGGAGAGATTTTCAGTCTGTGCTGGGAGTACCTGGTACAGGTGTTCACAGCTGCGGGTTTGTGGTACCCATTTGGAAACTGCCCTGATTCCCGTTGTGATTGCTCAGGAGGGAGAAGCGTAAACTGAGCCAGCAGCAAGTGACCTTTATCACACCACAACTGTCGAGTCCAACCTGCCAGGAATGAAATGAATATCGCAGCGGGTGAAGCGAGCAGCTAAATTTGTGTCTTCAGACCCATAACCATCTTAAGTATTAATCTGGGGAGGCACTTCCTGACAGCCTCTCTCTGCTGCTGCCCCAGGCTGAAGACATCCCATGGTTGGTACAGCTCTGCTGGAGTCGCTTGTGTGCAGAGGGTCAGCGAGTGGGGCTGGGTTGTGCTCCTGCTGGTGCTGCTGGAATGGGGTCAGAATCCTCAGAGTTCCACTCAGGCTGGAAAATGAGCTTGGTGGAAAGCACAGCCATGTTCTGGGACTGATCTGAACTAGGAGGGAGCTGCAGTGGGTGCAGAACTAACCCTTCGCTGCTTGTGACTAGGATTTAGATATTTATCTCTTCTCACTTGGCTTTCAAGGTGCCTTTAGATATTGTGTGCATGTTCCTACCACCTATTCCATTGGGCATCCTTTCCCCTGGTTTGTTCATCCTTGGCTATGCTTGTTCTGTGCCATTTGCCTTGATGACACAAAGCCCAGGAATTTCAAGCAGACCTTTTTTGGTGCTGAAGGATACAAAATAAGTTGTTATAATTAAGAGCACAGACCTGAAAAAAGACATACCTGGAAAAAGACATACCTAGAAAAGAATGCATTTCTCCTTTAAATTCCTTCAACAGAAGCTGAAGGAGGGAGATCATGTTAAGTTTTTTATTTAAGTGGTGTCATTTGTCCAGAAATTTAGTAAATTCACACTGACAGGTAGACTGGATACTGGGAAGGAATTCCCTGTGAGAGTGGGGAGGCCCTGGCACAGGTGCCCAGAGAAGCTGTGGCTATCCCTGGACCCCTGGMAGTGCCCAAGGCCAGGTTGGATGGGTCTTGGAGCAACCTGGGACAGTGAAAGGTGTTGGGGTTGGAATTGGATGAGCTTTCAAGTCCCTTCCAACCCAAACTACCCCATGATTCTGTGACATTTTTCCATGTACATAACAGAAGCTTGGACAAAATCCCACCCTGACATGAATCAAAGAGAATCCCAGATTCTCACTGTCATTCCCATGTAAAAGGAGGTCTTCCTTGTGCTTTTTGCTGCTTTTCCCTTTGTCCCATCTCCCAGGAGCCCAGAGCAAAGCCTCCCTTTGCTGTTCCTCTCCGCAGTCCCACCGCAAGTTCTCGGCCCCCAGGCACGGCCACCTGGGCTTCCTGCCCCACAAGCGGAGCCGCCGGCACCGAGGGAAGGTGAAGGCCTGGCCCAAGGATGATCCCAGCAAACCGGTCCACCTGACGGCTTTCCTGGGCTACAAAGCCGGAATGACGCACACTGTGCGGGAGGTGCACAGGCCTGGGCTCAGTAAGGAGGCAGGGAGCCAYGTCCAGGAGGGAATAGGATTGTTGGGAAAGGCTGTTGGTGGAAAGGGCTGGTGGAGCCCACAGGTTAAATCCAGGTCTTGTGTTGTCAAATGTCATCTCAGCATGGGCTGAGTGTGGGGCTTCATGGAGATCTCCACGCTGGGGTGGTGAGTGGYGCTTTGGGAAGGTTGGGACTGGCTGAGATGAAGCATGACCGTGTCTCCAGAGCTCCCTGTGACAGCCCAGCCATGAATCCTTCAGGGAATCTGATCCCAGAGGATGCTGAGCACTGCTTCCCTTTGCTGCCTTGCAGAGATCTCCAAGCGGGAGGAGGTGGAGGCTGTGACCATCATCGAGACGCCCCCGATGGTGGTGGTGGGGGTCGTGGGCTACATCGAGACTCCCAAGGGCTTGAGGAATTTCAAGACAGTTTTTGCTGAGCACATCAGCGAYGAGTGCCGGCGGCGCTTCTACAAGAACTGGTGCGTGCTCCCAAAAGGGGTCATTAAACACAGGAACTGCCCAGGGAGCTGGTGGAGTCACCACTCTGGAGGGTGGAGGTGTCCAAGGAATGACCAAATGTGGCACTTGGTGCTCTGGGCTGGGTGACAAGGTGTGAATCAGGCACAGGCTGCACCCCACGATCTCAGAGGGCTTTCCCAACCCCAGTGATTCCAGCATTCCCAGAGAGGGGTATTTCCTGAGTGGCTGCCTGTGAGGGATCCCTGGCAGGAATTCCACAGGCTCTCCAGGATACCCAAACAGCTCCTGTGGAGTGAAACTGCTGCTTATTTAGTCATGCACAGAGACAGTGCACTCAGCCCGGTGCTGGAGAGCTGCATATGGTTATGCAAATTTATTCTAATAGTCCAACCAAGGTAGCTCTCTCCACAATATCAGATGGCAGGTTCCTTTTTCCCTGTGCAGCTTGGGCTCCCAAGTTAACCAGAATTCTTGAGCTGAGGCACCAAATGGAGTAAAATCTGATTTACCAGGGGAAAATTGATGCGGAATGTGGCCCCCGGCCCTCATAAATATCAGCACCCCTCCTCAGAGAGAGAAGTGGAAACACGGATTTCCTCAGGGGCGGCTGTAGGAATTGTGTCTCCTGTGACAGTGCCACCCACCACAAGCCACCCACCCGCAGAGAGCCACCCACCACAAGCCTCTGATCCCATTTCTCCTTTTCACGACTCAATCCCTTCCCTCTTCCCACCCAGAGCCCTTGACATTCAGGTGAGGCTCAGGTACCCACAGGTACCCCGTGCCTCCAGGGAAGTGCCTGGCTGCTTTGTGATWTCCTGGCTGCAGGAATCTCCCATGGCAGTGCCATGGAGACCCACCCACCGCAAGCCTCCGATCCCTTCTTTCTCCTGTCCCTGATTTTGCGCCTGTGTTTTGATGGCGCTGAGTCAGTCAGTGGGAGACAGCCGCATTCCTCATGCGGAAAGGTTTGAATTACCCKTGAACGAGCCCTTTGCACGGCTCATTATCCACTTTCCTCTTCCCATCTCGGGGTCCTGACAGTCAGGTGAGGCTCAGGTATCTGCAGGTTCCCTGTGCCTCCGAGGAGCTGCCTGACAAGGTGACCTGTCCCCTCTCCGCCCTGTCACAAGCCCTTTATCAGCTCTGATGGATCTTAAACCCCTTCTGTCCTAGGCACAAGAGCAAGAAGAAGGCRTTCACCAAGTACTGCAAAAAATGGCAGGACGAGGCTGGGAAAAGGCAGCTGGAGAAGGATTTTGCAGCCATGAAGAAGTACTGCAAGGTCATCCGTGTCATTATGCACACACAGGTCAGAGCCTCTCCCCCAGCATGAGCGGGGGGGCTCAGGGGTTTTCTCCACTCTGAAAGACCTGGAAATGGGATCAGGAGGGGTTTTGGTAGGGTCACAGAGGCTGAGAGAGCACAGGGTGAGAGACAGGGTGACAGAGGTGCTGGCTGACCTTTCTGGCTGCCTTCTGTCCCCTCTGTCCCCTCCCAGGGCTCCCTGATCCAGGATTGCTGTGGGGCTGTGGTTTGGGAACACTGGGGAGCCCCCACAATCTGATGGGAGCCCACACACCCCGTGGAAGGGAGCAGGAGGAGGGCAGAGCCTGGGCAGGTCCTGAGTCCTGTGTCAGCACGGGACCTTGGGCCTCATGATCACCTCAAATTAGCAACCGGTGTCAAATGTTTTGGGCAAAAATAACCCCACGGGCAGGCACGGTTTGGGCAGATGCTGATTGCTGGATACACTGGGGCCCGTTTTCATGCTGATCCCTGAAGTTAAGGGCTGCTCTGGAGTCTGGGGAGAGCTAAGTTGGCTGAAAGACAAGGAGCTGGCTCCACGAGATCCCAGATGTAAAGRGCTGCTGACCCAGGGCTGCCATGGAAGGGGACGGCTGTGGCAGAGAGGGTGGTGAAGCAGTTGCTCTGCTTACTCCTGTGCCTCTCTGACCCAGCCCTRCTGTACCCTCCTATCTATGGGGTGAGGGATTACATGTCACCCTAGAACGCTGTGTGCTGCAGATGAGGCTGCTCCCCCTGAGGCAGAAGAAGG